TAAATAGCAATGAAAAAGAGAGAATTCTATTTCCTGCTTGTGCCAAATAGCCTTCTCCCTATATTCATGGGAGCGCTAACATGTTCACACAAGTGCCCAGGGATGTTACCTTTTTGCCAACTTTGGAAATAATTTTTAAAAACATTTTGTGGGAGAACTCTGTGACTTTTGGAGAGGTTGGACTACTAATAAGCATACCCTGGCTGCACTTGTGCCTATCCTTATTTGACAGAAATGCAGTTCAGTTTGTTACATCTGCGTAGATCAGTGTTTTTCAATCTCTAAGATGTGTGGCATTCAACTCCAAAAATCTCCCACTTGGCAAGTTTGAAAAACTGGACTAGACATATACAAGAATGCCCAATTAAAATGTTGATGTTTATAGTAGATTTAAGAATGCTCAATTGTCTGTTCAGTTATTTTGTTTTCCTTTTCTGTTGTTGCCATTATTCAGTAAATTATAAAAGCATGAAACAAGAACAACTGATTAGCAAATTGTAGAGTTTTGTTTGCTGCATTTCACAAATGCTTCACTTGCACATGGCTTATTTTGTAGGTAGGTGTATAATTTCCCCCAACAATTGTATGGTGAAACCCCTTCAAAGGTTGCTCTAATTTTATTTTTATTTTGTTTTTCCCAGGATATTTCAAGAAGCACAGAAATATTGACAAAATTGGTGACACCCAATGACGTTCATAACATCTACACTTAAAAATGACTTGTGATCCTTCAAAATTTGATTAAGCTTCTGTATTTGTAAACTGCAGCTACTTTGGAACACAGTTCTGCATAAGTGGGACATGCACTATTTTTTGTACCACATACTGGTCATTTTGGGGAGGGTTAGACTGATTTTAAAAATTAAAACATGATCTTTTTATTTTGTACAAGACAAGTGGAAGAATATATTTGCTCTTAAGAATATTCTATGCATTTTCTTTCCAACCCACAAGTTACAACACTATTACCACAAGACATGTTGATGCAACAAAAGACAAAGTGATAGATTTGAGTAAAAAAAGCAAAAGGGGCAGAATGGTTTCTTAAAATCAGTGTTAACTACTCAAGCATAGTGAGAGAAAAAATACAGGAGAAACAGCATGAATATGAGAAAGCAGAGAGCTGGTGTTGGATGATTGTGTCAGAAAAACGTTGAGAAAGTTTGAGGTCCAACAGATCTAAAGAGTGACCAGTTGAAGAAGGTGGTTCAGCTTAGTTTTAAGACTATCCTTCCTCTCAGCTCTACATGCATTGACATTATAGCTTTGTTTGAACGCATATTAATGGAATATATACTGCTCAAAAAAATAAAGGGAACGTAAACTCCTTCAGTTCCATGTTAAAATGTTCCCTTTATTTTTGTGAGCAGTATATTTCCCTTCAGTCAAATATCCAAGGTGGCATACTACAGCATTTAAAATTTACAAGTGCAAACCACACATCTTGGAAACAACAATTGTATTTCAGAACAGAAATTAAAAAAATAAATAGGGCCTGTCGTATAGGACAATGGTTCTTGAAATAGTCTTATTCAACTTTTCAGGCCTCTGGAAGCAAGAATTTGAACTGAAACTGGACACATCTACATATCAGCATGAGGCATCATCAACCTAGACAGCCACCTTTTAAACAGATGGCAGTCACTTTGTACCCTTACCCACTAGAAAGAGAACTGAATTCACCTTCATCTCAATATAATTAGAAGAGTAGAATGGATAGAATTTGGAAAAATGTCAGGACAGAAGAGGTAACTTAAATACATTTATTGTCCACTTTTCCATGACTGAAAGCATATGTAGAAATACTGAAACATTTAAATAAAGCAACCATCACAGTGCTATAAGATGCATCTAGCAAATACTGGATTTTAGCCTTTCAAAATGACAGTCGAGGGAAGGTACCTCTTTTAGAAAGCCCTTCCCTTGCCTGTTTGCGTGACACTAGTAACTAGATTCTAAGTAATACATTGTGTGAATCCAGAAAAATACATTAATTAGATAGCCAGGCAAAAAGTGGGTACAGATGCTGCACTTACAGTGCCACAATGCTCAGATAGGGCAATCCATATTAACAATGGCATTTGAAGCCTCCAAATTTCCCAGAAGACATCGCCTCCATCCTATCTGAATTAAGCTTCATGTGTTCAGATATGATCAGATATAGTAACCAGCTATAGAGCTATAGATTTAAAACAGTTGGCTGTTCGTGAATACTTAAAATTAGTGCCTTATATCAGGGGTCTCCAACCTGTGGGCTCTGGCCTACTACCGGGCCGCGGCCGCTTGGCCACATGAAGGGATGGCCAGTGCACGCACACATATGTATACACTCACCCCCCTCACACTCGCACTAGCGCCGCCCCGAGCATCCCGCCGGCACTAGTGCCACCCCGCCCTCGAGCATCCCACTGGCATTAGCACCACCCCGAGCATCCCACTGGTGCTAGCGCTGCCCCACCTCCGAGTGTCCCACCAGCACTAGCGTCGCCCTGCCCAAGTGTCCCACTGGCACTAGTACCATTTGCCACCTCATTTGCAGCACTCACCCCCGCGCAGCCATTTGTGTGTGCGTGTGTTCACGTGTTGCCATTTGCATGCGCTTGTGCAGCCCATTTGTGTGCACACACACACACACACACAGGCTATTTGCGCACGCACATGTAGCCTCCTTTTCCGGGCAGCCAAATCAAAAAGATTGGAGACCTCTGCCTTATATGGTGCTGCAGTCAATAGTGTTTATCTTTTCTACAATACTCTTATGTTTTTGTCCATGTTCCTGCTGGCCACACTGGAAACTTCCCTTCTATTATCATACTGTATCTGAGAAAGGGGGTTGTGACTGAGAAGATGAACACCATCCAAAATGAACAGGATGACCCCTGAATGGCAGACCATGTTGGACTCTTCAAGTAAGAGTCCTGTTTACATTCAGGTGGAGAAGAGTGAAGTAATCATTTGGCTGTGTTTGCACAGTGATTATTCAAGTTCACTGTGGTTTGATATTAACTATGGTTCATAAGTCAACCATAAACAGTTGATCCACTCTGTCTGGACTTATATCTAAATCCTGCTACACTAAAATACGAGACTAGTTTATGGTTCAGTGCATTGTGTGAGCTCAGTTTTGGCACAATTCACTAAACCATAAACTATAGCTAATGGACCTGTGTATGAGCCAAATCTGGAGAAATCATGAAATCCTCCTGTATTGTGTGAACTAGGCTGCTATACTAAGATACACTATGATCCATTTCTTTAGCATGTTGCATAAACCCAATTAACTTTGGTTGGTGGCTTACATTGTATGAACAGAGTTAAGTTTGTACAACATGTTAAACTAAAATGTGAATTATTAGTTTATGTTTCCATATTTTAGTGTAGTTTAGTCAACCCAGGTTAAAACAATCATAGTTAGCAAGTTGCCCAAACTCAGTCATTAGGAAGTGCTGTGTGTATTCAGAAAATGAGGAAGGTGTGGAGAATTTTGTCCTGCAAACATAACAAAAATGTTTCAATTTCCTGCTCCAGCAGTTTTATAGATGTGAGTTGATCCACAATTCCTGAGAGCTGTTCTTTGAAGCTTATTCTCCACCAGCTTAGTCCAAATTGGCCTCATTATTTCCTTGCCCTTAGACTGAGCCTAAAAGAGTCCATTTGGTGTAATGCTTAAGGCACCAGGCTAGAAACCAGGAAGCCATGAGTTCTAGTCCTGCATTAGACACAAAGCCAGCTGGGTGACCTTGGGCCAGTCACTCTCTTTCAGCCCTTAGAAACAGGCAATGGCAAACCACTTTTGAAATCTTGCCAGGAAAACTGTAGGGACTTGTCCAGACTTGTCCATGTAGTTATCAGCAAACAACAATGATTTGAAGACCCCGGAACACACACAAAATTCTAAGTCTAAAGGTAATGGGCCAAGAGAAATTGGATTAGTCGTTCGAACAGAAAGGGGCAAAGTGGGGGAGCTAAATAAGAAGAGTCACCAGGGAGGAGCAGCAGCAGCACCTGGATGATGGTGGTGATGCTGTGCCACCAAATCCGGATCGACTTTTAGCGGCCAATCTCATCTGAAAGCCAAAAGTTAGCAGATTTAGGCTCAGTCGCTGGATGAGAGATCGTCACAAAATCCTGGGATCGTAAGGCTGTTAAACTGGACGGCCGAGGGGAAAAAAGCGGGCAGTGAAAAACCGTTTCCGCCTGTTAGAAGTAAGTCTTCATCCTGGTTCATTCAAGCCGGGAATAAATAAGCAAACATGGCGACTGCTTTGGGAAGAAGGTTACAGTTTATTGCAGGAGAAAGATGGTCCTTGCAAGAAGCAGCAGAGGAGAAGAAAGAGCAAAAGCACATGGGTAGAAGGGCTTTTATGCCCCCCTCCAGCCCTGCTTGGAATAGTTTCCTGTTCCTGTGGCATGAACTTTGAGGCTATTTCTGAGTGTTTTTCTAGGCCTTGATATCTGTGGTTTAATCCCATTATCATATCCTGCTTCCCAGGTGATGGGGCTGATGACTCTTAAGAGCTTCTTTTGTCTTGAGATCCCTGGCTCCAAAATTCCTGATGGTTCCACATCTGCATTTGCATGGGCCTAGGTCTTGCTTGGGGCAGAGATTTGGAGCCAAAGTTGGTTTCTGCTTTTTAAAATACTTTTGAGGAAATATATCTTTCTGCCCTTTTAATATTTCCTTCTCTGGGGCTCTGACTTCCCACACGCCTTTCTTGAAGAAAAGGAGCTCGGCTCCAGTAACTTTCCGCAAAGCAATCAATGGCACGTGTTAAATCTAAAGGCAGGCGTGGCTTCTTTAGCCGGGAACTGGAGGAGAGCGTCTTTCTGATTCCTTTAGTGGGCGGAGTCAAAAGTTTTACCCCCAACACAACCACAACTCACCCCCCCCCAAAAAAACAACAACAAAAAAGCCCTCCTCTTTTGCTCGGTGCCCCCGAGCAAAAGCTGCGGATGTAGCCGGGCTGCGCGCGCTTGCTGTTGGAGAAGACTCGGCTAACAACTTCAGGGCTTTCTGCGGCTTTTCACGAGCGGTAATTCCCGGTGACGCCTAGTAGGCGCCGAAGGGGTGGAGAGTTAAGAAGCTAACCCGTCACAAGACTACTTCACCCCGCCGGGTTAAAGAAGAGCAGGGCCGTGATAGCGGCGCCCATTGAAATGGCGGTGGCGGTGGTGACGCGCTTGGCCGTCTTGGCGTTGCTGTCGAAGGTAAGCCGAGGACCAAAATCAGGCGGGGAAAGGCTCCGGGCTGCTTGAGCTCGGCCGTCGGGGAGCGAAGAGGAGGAGGAGGAGGATTATTCCTAAGGAACGGGGGTGGCGCGGTGTGCGAGCTTCATTGATTCCACCGCGCGATCCTTGGGCTTGAAGCAGCGGCCGGCTCTCATGCCGCGGAGTGGCGGAAGGGAAGGGAAAGTCCGCAAAAAGTTTGGCTCGTCTCTTCCCGATGGAAGTTGGAGTCCTGCACCTCCCCTCCCCTCCTCCATTCTGAAGATCACCAGGGTGGAGAAGGGCTGCCAGGGCAAGAAGGGCGGCGCGAGAGGCTCGTCTCTCTTGGATTGCGACCCTTTTGGACGTTGGGGTGTCAACTTTGCGGGCTTTTTTATTTTATTTATTTTTTTTTTTTTTGCTGTCGTGTTAGAAAGGAAATTCAAGGAGTTGTGACGGACGGACGGCCAGCCGGCCGACCCCGGATTTTGCCACTCCCGTAATTTTTTTTTTAATTTTTTTTTTTGCTACTTATATAGGTAACTGTTTAGCTGCCGATAACATTGTGTCACTGCGCAGACCTCGAGATGGGCGAGATTCAGACAGCTAAATAAAAAAAAATTAAAGAGTGAGTTGAGACTCGAGGGGCGTGACCAAGCAAGCCCCGTGTCTGGTTGCAACAGGTTTTGCAGGTTTTGGTGCTCCTTTTTTGATGGCAGCGGTAGGGTGAAGCCAATGCTACCCTTTTCCCAACCGGTTTCCGTTCTGTTCCTCCAGCCATTTTTTTTAAAAAATAGCTCATATCTGCACTGAGAAGACTTAACTGTTATTCATGGCTTGTGAGTTAAAAAGACATCCTGGGTTTAAGACATTTCAGGCCATTCCACAGATTATTTTACTCCAAAGAGATGCTCCCTAGTGATATGCTCTGGTTTATTTAATAAACCCCAATTGGGTGAGTTTATGCCATACACTAAGCCAGGGGTCTTCAAACTTGGCCCTTTTATGATTTGTGGACTTTCAACTCCCAGAATTCCTTAGCCAAGTTTGAAGACCCCTGCACTAAGCAATCCACTGTATGATGGACAGCGTAACTCCTGCATTTTCATTTAGATGTGTCTATTCCACTCTTAATAAAGGTTTCATTAAAAATAAGATGGAATGTGCTGCCCCTCTAATCTAGCACTTTAGTTTCCCCAACCTGGTGCCCTGCAAGTGTTTTAGAACTATAGTTTGTTGTCAGAGCATAGCTAAAGCACATCGGTAAACTGGCATTGTGCATGGGCTAGGATGGAGAGTGAAGGAATTCTCCTTAGAAGTAATAAGGAAGTACATTTGCAAGGTGATTCACATTTCTTGTAAATCAGTGTTTATAGCTAGAGTCTAGACAATGCTTTTCACAAAATTAAATGCAGTACTCAAAAAGTTTAGACAAAAGTATGAGTTCTCTTCGGGGTTTTGGATTTTAACCATTTTTGAACTTTTTGCTGAAAACAAATTATTTTTTATATATATGAGTTCGATTATTAGAAAAGTTGGAATATGGTAAGAAGGGAGCCATGATCCTGAGGAGATAAAACATACTGTAAATACCTTTATGCCTGCTGTAAAGAAGTTTGGAAGTTACTCCTTTAGATCTCCCCCCCCCCTTTTTTTTCTTCTTTTCTGTCCCTGTTCTTTCTTTCTTATTTATCACTTTGCTTTTTTCTTTAAATTTGTATTGTTTTTATTCTGTAAAAAAATTCAATAAAAATTAGAAACGATTTGGGATTTTAAAAAAGAGCAAGGAAGAACACTTTGATTTTAAAGAACAATCTATATTGAGTGCAAGTTTAAAGTAGAATGCAGTGGACTTGATTGGATTAGGCTCAATCCTGATAAGATTTCAGGTTTTGCTCTGGACTACGGGAGAATGCATAAATGCTGTCCTCCTACAAAACAAAATGCAATAATTACTTAGAATATTGCAGTTCTTTGATAGGCAAAAAAGCACAAACAAGTTTTATATCAGCAGTGTTGAAATTTTTGTTTTTTGCACTAGATAAAAACTACCATTTGCATTTCTATGGTTGAAAGACTATTTTGAAAAGATTCCCATCTTCTCATGCTAGAAAATTAATCTTCCAATTTGAGGGCGATGCTTCTAAAAAGCAAACTATTGTACACTCTCATATGGGAAAAAGGGAAACTAAATTCTGAAAACATTGTGCAGATTAAAAGTTTACAAAATTGTGAACAACTTTCATTTTCCACTGAGCTCCTCATCAAGTTTGGATTTTAGCACTTTTAAACACAGCTGAGTTTAAATAGCATGTATATGTTTCTTCTACTAGTTTCAGAGTTCAAAGACCAGTTTGAATGTTTACTTAATAGTGCTCACAATTTTACCAAGTACAAATATAGTTCTATATTTTATATTTTCTTAATTCTTTGAGCTAATTCAAGATTATGGAAGTCAGAGGCTTACTCTGCAAAGGCTTTTTTTAAGAGGAGGAGAGAGTGACAGATCATGATCAGGAGAGGGAAAAGTTCTGTATATGCGTGTAATGTAAAAGTTTTATATTGAAGATCAATGTGAAGCATTTATACGGTGCACTACTACTCCATTACAACTATTAATTCATTGATAGTTACCAATCCTTGTAATACACATATTACAAATTATTATATACACAACATGTGAAATCAAAGCTACTGGTTCCTTAGCTAATGCTGGCTTTCATTCACATTCACTTCTTCCCATAGATTAGAATGTAGAGAATGTAATGTATTGGTGTGGTATATGTGCAGATCCAAGCAGTGTGGCCTTTTGTAAATGACAGATAGAAATATTTTCAATAAGCAGATTTTCTAAGTGCCATTCAAGGCTTTTGGGCATTCCCTGTCAGTAATCACTGGGACCACCACTGACAGTTTACGTCATAATACCTCAATTTTGATTTTTGGACCTAGATACTTGTGATGTTCCCCAATTTTTTGTCATCTCTTCTACTATCTCCTGGTATTGCCACATCAACTCTCCACACTTCCTTCTTTTTAACCACAATTAAATCTGGCGTGTTTTAGTCGCACAGTTAGCTAGATGTTTAGACTGGGTCTGGCATTTTTATCCATCTTTTGAGTCCTTCCCAAGGCCCAGGATAGACAGATATTGTTGTTACCATACTGTAAATTCTGGTGACATGCAGAATCCAAGATCAATAAAAACAGTAAAAAACATACAATGTATAGATAGCCCAGGCTAAGAATAACAAAAAAAATAAAATAAAAAATCAGCAGCTCCATAAATATATTAATCTGATGCCTAAAAACACTTTTCTCTGGATCTTTGATTCAGCCTGGATCATATTAAATTCCTGTGAAATATATATGAACTAAATAATATAAATACCAAAAAGAAAAAAAACCTCATAGAATTAAGATAACGTTATAGGCCATTCATATTAATTGTTAGCTAAAATTTGCATTGCACAATATAATGATTTTTGCCTTATGAACAAAACCAGTGTAATTGAATGCTTGTTTAATATTTGCACAGTTTTCCAAATATGAAAACCCTTGCTTCCTTGGTATGGGTTTCATGGCTAAGAGATGGATCCTGTGCCATCCCTCATTTGAAGAGAGCTCAAAGACTTGGAAGAAGAGTCAAAGAATTTAGGGAGCTAGAATTGCAGTAGTGATGTTATCTGGGAAAGAAGGGCTGTAAAATTTGCTGTTGGTTTTATATGAGTTCATTAACTTGCCTGCTTGCACAATCTGAGAAAAGGCCTATAGTTGGAGATGGCAGAGACAGAAGCGTTGGGGGAGAGCACAAGAGGCAAATGCACCTACACACATATAAGCACAGTAAACATTTTTCTATGTTTGAAAAAGCTGAGATTGAAAAATCAGACTCACTGGCTATATTTGCTTATCATGATAGGCTAATTCAAGTAATTAATTCATAAAGAAAGCTTTTTATTTATTAAATATATCCAAAGGATCCATACACTTTATATGACAAAGCAATAAAATGAAATAGACAACACTTGAAATATGAAGCCAGCTCGCCCTGGGACAACTTACCACGGTCAACTTGCTACAGGACAACAGTTACACTAATATTGAAGAAATATTAGTGGAATAGAATCATTGCAGAAAAGGATACAAAAGAAAGGACAAAATGAAACGTGAATGACAAAAAATAAAATTATTTTAAATAATTAAATTGTTGAATTGTCCTGCGGCGAGTTGTCCTGTGGCAGGTTGTCCCATTCCACTCCCAGGAGGGTTCTCCTGCTATTCTTCAGTTTTAAGTTCTTAGATCCTTCTCAATGAGAGGAGTGGCATAAAAATTAAATAAATAAATAAATAAATAATAGATTCCTAATTTTGTACTTCAAGATCAAAGGATCAAATGCTAGGTATGAGAGGAAGAAATTCATAGACTGCCAATGCTAACTAAGGAAGAAAGAAAGAAAGGAAAGGATGCCATGAATATGCAAATCAGTTATACGATTTAACTCTGTTATTTAACATTATGACTAAACTAAGTGAATGCAACAGTGACACTGTCTTTGCATTATACTTGATGTGGACCAATTAAGATTTAGAGTGCAATTCTAGGACTAGATTGGGAGTTAATTCTGAATAAGAGTTGTTACCACTAACAGCTGCTTAACGCCTTCAATCTTTAGAAATAGTGTTTCTCTTCTCACTATTGCAGTATAACAGCAAGTAACTTGACGTTTGAGGAAGTTTATGATTGTTGTTAGCTTATTTTATTGGTTCTAATTAAGCCTCAGAGTTTTAAAACAAAGTTGAGTTTGTTTTCTATTGCTTTGATTTATTTATGTAATTGTTTTAAAATATGTTACACTTGGTAAATATAAATTAATGCTTATTGTTTATCCGTGTGCTACTCATGATAGATCAAAGGTTATTCATACAGTATGCCTAACTGAAGTTTGACCTTCATATACAAGTTGAAGGAGATAGTGGGATTAAAATTTAAGTTAGCAGATTCAGTAGTTGCATTTTTAGCCCAAGGAAAAAAATTCTAAATAATAGAAAAGGGATTCAACAAGGTAATGGAATCTCTTCTCTCTGACATACTGTACCATTTTATTTTGATTTGAAGGGATCTTATGTGGAGAATAACCATATAATAACATTTTCTTTCAGAGTATTGAGTGAAATTATTCATTTTACCATACATTCTGTTACTTATGAAAGAAATATAAGGTTTAATTTTCTATGTCAGCCTTTCTTGATTAAAATAATGATCTCCAACTGCTTTCTGATTTTTATATATTTCAAGTTCTGATGCATTATAGAGAAATATGTTCCACTGACTTATTTCGGTAATGTCTGCTTTGGCTGGCATTATTCTAACACCATGTAATGTTCCTTTGTAAACATGAATTGGCCTCATCTCTTTAGTCACTGGATTTGAACTGCCAGCCGTATTTTACTTGATACTGTGATTCATTCCAATTTCCATCTATTGCCATATACTTAGATTTAAAGTTAGGTATTGTACTTTAAAAGTTATCCAGATGCTTTCCTGTGTAAGCAATTTGAGAGTTTCAACTTTATATTGTTAACTAGATAAATCGTGACCTGTTGGTTCATCCTTTCAGATACATTTCCTTACCTAAACAGAGAAACAGAATGACTATGTGCCGGCAAAAAATCAGTGGGAGGACGAGCAACTTCCGACTTCCTGCCAGCTTCCCCACTGATTTTACTTGTGGGAAACTGGCAGAGAATATTGGAAGTTACAATCATGTGAGCGAGATGCTGCTGCAGTGGCTACAATTTTGCAAATACAACTGGTGTGAAGATCCTTGAAATTTCAATTACTCAGAAGTAAAGACTCCCAGATTTTATACACATCTCTTTAAGTTAGCAGATTTGAGGTACCTTGATTCAAAACGCTTTGCACAATGATGCACCGTTTGGGCTAATTGAAGGTTACAAACAGACAAAAAAAATAGGAGAATTTTAGTAGTATATACGGTAGATATATAATTCCCCAGATCTTGGCTGAATCATCATTGATTGAATATTTGAATTGGGGTAACCTCTTTATTAGGGACCAATCAAAATGCCAGAGATACTCAAGATTTTAAGTTCTCCAACAATACTCATCAGACAAAATGCTGTAAAAAGTAGGAGATCGAAAGAGAGAAGAAAGTCCAAATATTAGGTTAGGTTAGCTTTTTTTCAATCATTAGGATCAGTTTCAAGATGAATATTGTTCACTTGGTGTTTTATCCAGTTGTAGGTATTGGTGTCAGGTTACTCTAGTGTTCAGAGACAAAAATAACTGGCACATGAGTTTAAAACATATATATATATTTCCTCATTGAGTAATATAGCCATTATGGTTTTTATACTTATTTTGAAGCTTTGGAAGAGTTTTGATTTGTGAGGTGGCTTTTGTAGTTCCTCTTGTTTCATCTCGAAGCCATGAAAAACTCCAAAAGCTGCTTGAATCGCAGACTTTCTACTATTTCTTCACTGTTATAAGATCCCATAGGCAGCATTCCTTAAAAATTAGATGGTAGGAAGCAGTGGTGGAAGATGGTAATGTGCACTCCTTGTTCATGTGTGTGAGCTTCCCAAAAACATCTAGTTGACCAATGTGGGGCAAAGAATTGTAGAGAGTGAGGAAGAAGACCTTAACAGAGATAGGTCAGCTCCATTACCAAAGTGAAGGAAATTGTATTGTATTTTATTCTGAGCCTGTAACAATTTATAAATGGACAAATTATTCATATTATACCCATCATAGCATATTATACTCATTCCATGAGAAGGCGTATATACTGTAATCCCTATCCCCCTTCCGCCCTGCACTTGTTCTGGAATGCAAAGATCACAATTTATTTTCTTTTGATGGTAGAATTTGAATTTAGTTTATCTTGACAGCTTTGCAGAACAATGGTTTCACTGTGAGCGTGCATCTCTGATTAAGACAAAATAATATTTCTGGAAAAGCGCAATGATTAGGAACATCTCCCTTTCCAAACCCCCTAGGTTGAATCTCCATCACTGCGAAACTCCTGTGAGCCTGGAGAATTCCTATATTCTGGGATTTGTTGCAAACATTGTCCTGCCGGTAAGTTGTCATAATATGATGATAATATGATTTTATATTCCACTGAAAAAAATTGGTGCTGTCTTTTTGAAAGAACACACAAGCTACTGTAAAACGATTAGTGTCAATAGGAAACGTCTTTGAATCCCGTTATCACTAAGAAAACCTTTCTCATTTTAGGCCATTCTGTACAGGTAGTCCTCGACTCACAGCCATAATTGAGCCCAAAATTTCTGTTGTTAAATGAGACATTTGTTAATTGAGTTTTGCCCCATTTTATGACTATTCTTGCCTCAGTTGTTAAGTGAATCATTGTAATCGATAAGATAACACGGTTGTTAAGTGAATCTGGCTTCCCCATTGACTTTGCTTGTCAGAAGGTCACAAAAGAGAATCACATGACCCTAGGGCATCTGAATTTTGATCATGTGATCATGAGGATGCTGTAACGGTCATGAGTGTGAAAAATGGTTGTAAGTCACTTTTTTTCAGTGCCATTGTAACTTTGAACAGTCACTAAATGTACTGTTGTAAGTCGAGGACTACCTGTATTTGTTCCTGTGCAGTGCCCAATATTGCCAATCAGCTATGAATTCTGAAAATTGTAGTTCCACTTTGTAGGACCTATGACATACTAAAGAAAGAGGTTCCCCTGAATAGAACATTCTGGATGGGTATTACATGGATATATTAATGTTTTCTTCGCAATAATGTGGAAATTGTTTGCCATTACCACTTTCTGAAGCATTCTTTGACTTTCAAGCCTAGCATTTAGACATGTGAAGTTATGGCGTATTCTCATTCAAGTTCTAATCTGATCCTGTTTAGCTGCTGCTACTTCTTTTTTTGTTTTAAAGATTGTTCAAGATCACTCAGTGCTGTCACCTGATCCTTTAAAAAATGAAAATGGTTAATCATTTTAAGGAACAAATAAAGAATAGGGAGAGATGGGCATCTTTGTATTCTAGTCTGAAGCCTGGAATTAATTCTGGAATCAATTAAGTTAATTCTGGAATTAAAGGCAAACTGAAGGAAAATGTATCAAACAATGGAGGGCATAAGTTTCATTTATATCCCTTCTACAATTGATTTTATTTTTAAATTAGGTAATCTAGTGCTTGTGAACTTAATGAAAATATACACAGCCTGACCTGTCCATTTTTATTCGCTTTTTGACCAGTTGCTTGTGATATGACAACTATGAAATTTGAATGGAATTTTCTTCTCTTAACATTGTCCCTATGCCATATCTCAACCATTATCTTGCTGCTTACAGCATCTTTTTTCCTGTTGTGTACATCTGAAACTGGTTGTGCTTCCTCAATAAAATAACCATTTGCCCATTTGCCAGAAATAGTTCCTATGACAATTTTAAAAGAAATAGAAGGTACCGGAAGTCACATAGACTTCTGCATATATATATTTTCAACTACTTCATTTTATACCACATTTTTTTCCAAAGAAGAGGCCCTATCTTCCCACCCCTTAGCCTTTTAAATTCACAGCCATTCTGTAAGGCAGTTTCCTGCATCTATCAATGTTTCGCAGCCTAAATTCTCAAAGAGGCTTCATGGATGTTCCACCAAATCATTTTAGGCAGTTTAATCACTATAGAACAGGGGTCTATAGTGATCCATGGCCTGTTGGGAACTGGGCCGTGCAAGCAGCAGTTGAGTATGTGGAGCTTTATTTGTGCAGGTGTGGAATCTAGGTTGTGTGTCTATCCCCCCTCTCTTTGCCGCCGATGTGTGTAGCCAGAAAGTTTGGGGGCTGCTGCTATAGAATATTGGCTTAAAAAATCCTGGTACTCATCTAAAACCTAAATCTAAAATCTAAAGCTCCTTTTTAGAATAATAGGTAGCGTTATTAAATATTTTATCAATAAAGCTCTTTTGATATGTTCTGCATCTAGTTTAAATAAAGTTCTGGCTTTATCTTGGAAAACTGTTTTTAGGTTGCTTGGTATTTTGTTAATAGCAATGCCAGCTTTGCAAAAGAGACAAAACCAGTTGATTGGAATCGGCAAATACCATTTGTTACAAAAGAAGCAGTTGTATTCCAATTTGCCAAAACTTCCTTGCTGACTAACAAGATGGTTTATTCTTGCTTTTTCTGAATGATTTTGTAAGCTTGACTGTGCAACAGCATCAAGCAATAGTACATGGCCAAAGCTTAGTATTGGAACCTGGTCACCCATTGCTTTTATAGGGCATGGATCATAGTCATCATTGTGCTTCCAGTAAGACTTTGTGATGTCCTTTAGTGAAGGCATCAAGATACAATTTGCTGCTGATCAATTGTATGGTTGAATTCCAATGTGTGTCAGGGGCCAGAATCAGCAAAGGCATAGCAGTTAAAGATTTCTTAAAACACAAATCTAGTGAGATGTTCATGACCCTGGGTGAAAATACATTCATCTCATACATCTCATGCAAGACTAATAAAATGAATTTTATTAATTTATTTTTAATAGTTATTTATCAGACTTAATTTGGGGTGCTCATTTTTACTATTTAGGGGTATTGCCCTCATGCCCTGCCTACTCTGCCAACAGTGCCAATATAATTGTTGTAAGAACCTTTGTGGATATCCTGATTCAGGCAAAACATTATTTGGGGGATGAAAAATCATTTGCTGTGTTCAGTTGTGATCATCCCTTATAGCAGGGGTCTTCAAACTTGGCCCTTGTATGACTTGTGGACTTCAACTCCCAGAATTCCTCAGCCAGCATGTCTGGCTGAGGAATTCTGGGAGTTGAAGTCCACAAGTCATACAAGGGCCAAGTTTGAAGACCCCTGCCTTATAGGAAACAGAGAGAAACCTGTATTTTATATGCTTTTGTACTTCCGGTAATATTGTTGGGTGATTTTGACCACAAATGTGAATGGTTTTGTTAGCTCTGCTTGGCTGCTTAATTACACAAAACTTAAACAGCAGAACAGAAGTAATTTATCAATTGGTAATTAATCTGTATTAGTTCAAATATTAATCTCATGGTTCCATTGTGAAAGTTCTTCATTAGTTGGCAGTCTTGTAACATGTAGTTGGAAAAACAGTTGGTGGTATAACTACATATATTTGAATACTAACTTTCATTTGCTATCCCATATCATAGGTACCCATGTTGAAGAATACTGCAGTTCTCCACACACACAGGGAATATGTAAACACTGCACAGATGGAGAAGACTATACTGAATATGACAATGGTCTAGTTAAGTGTTTACCGTGTGAAGAATGCAAATCTGGTACAGTACACTTTGGACATTGTTCCTGAATTGTGCTACTTTTCAGCATCAGATTTTAACGTTCTGCCACAATCTTATAGTGCATTACATGTCATAGAATTTTGCTAGCCTTTTACCACAATCACCTCCTCATCTCTAACTTTGTTTAAACTGAGTAAGGTTTAGGTTGGGTACTTTTTTGATCCAAAGTCACCTGGTCTCAGCAATAAACTTTATTTTTCATAGGCTTCTCTCTCCCAAGCCTTTCTTCCTTGCCTGGTGGGCAGTTGTATAGAGTCAGCTTGCTTTTAAGGAAGGTCTGAATTCATCTATTTGCCCAGGGCTTCTGAAATTAAGCCATAATTAAGCCAGTCACCCAGAGAGGTAGCCAGTTGCCTTTACCTGGATATATTCAAGCAGAAGTTAGATATTAATTTGGATTCTTGCACTGATTGGGTGACCTAAATGACCTCTTCCATCTCCGATTCTAGGCTGAGGACTGTGTTTAGGAACCTGAGGGCTTAGTTGCCCGCTGTCTCAGACTTCATTTTTCCCTGCCCCAAAGTACTCCTGCAACCCATTCATCTACCCCTTAAGAATCTTTGTCCTTTTCTATTTTGCTTCATTTTTAATATCTCCTGTAGAGCAGTGTGTAAACATTGTCCATGTTGGTAAGTTAGGAAATTCTGTTTCAGGTTACAAAATGATAACACCTTGCACCAGGAAGAAGAACACTGAATGTCAGTGCAATGATGGCTATTTCTGTCCTCAAGGCTGTGAGGAATGTATGAAATGCAAGAAGCGGTATGTACATTAGTATACTTATGGTGCAATTCCCTTTTATGATAGAGTATGTTGCACATGTATAAATACTTGCAATAGATTGATTGCATTTAAGCTAAGGTGATATTTATATGTCATTATATCCATTCATTCATTTTTCTGGGCTCATAATTGAAGCCAACTCAGTTCCCATCTTTGTAACTCAGATTTAAAAGAACAGCATAAACAATATAAAAAATAATCCAACAGTTGATGAAAAATAATATGTAAAAATTATGTGTATAGTTTTTTTTAAAGCCAAGTTAAAATCCAATATCCTTTTAATGATACAATAAAGCAGTTATTGGTATATAATCTTTTCTGGGCAAAAACCACTGCATTTGAGCAGTATGCCAAGAATTCCAGAATAAAATGTTGGTTTAATTGATTTATACCATCGGATTACTCTCCATGTTTAATTTCTGTTTCTGCTACATTAAAAAAAAAACTTCAGTTGCTGCATCTGTAAGAGCTCTAAAAGTTGTACCCGTGGCTACTGCTGCTTTGGAACATCAAATTGTACATTTTATTCATAAATGTGCAACGTGTGCTATTTCTTAAAGCTTTTGTATAGCTCAGCCTATTAATTTGCATTTTTGGGTGAGTGTGTTAGATAGATAGATAACCTTTATTGTCATTTTTTACTATGGGCACAATGACACACATTAAAAATGAAATTTAGTTGCTTGCTCTCAAAGTGTACACATACATAACACACATTTAAACATACTATATACAACATATGTATAGACCTACACCCTTATATATAAATAACATATAAAATTGGCCCTAGTGATGTCAGAACTGGATAATATGGCGGGAATGGCATATTTAAAAACTATTGGCTATCTTAGTTGCAGTATTCACTTTCGCATATGCAGTCCTGACACATTCCACAAAATCTGCTTTTGCTGTGGATTTAACAATAGTTGGGGACTCTTGATCTAATGCAGCAGTCTGAAAATGTAGCCTTTAGATGTGCAAGGACTACAGTCCAGAGAATTCCTACTCACCAAGGCCCAACATTTTGGAATTCATAGTACCAGCATAGTAGGGTCGTACTCTTTTGTGATGAATTTCCTACATTCTGTTTCACTTCTCCTTGTTGTTGGTTTTGTTTTGTTTTTAATAACATTGTACTTTCCTGCTTTGCTTAATCAACACACCAAATTGCAGGCAGTCTACAGCTTTTGGTCACAAGTCTCTGCACGTGTATTTTGAAGGGACAAATAGAAGTTCAGAAGACAGAAAAAATAAGGATTACACTTATATGTTATGGAAAATTAATAAAGATTCATAAGATTGTCCCCTTCATTTCTAGATCTCATATATTTTCTGTTGGATATTTATACAAATATATTTTATAAATCTAAATCAGGTGATCCCTAGATTGCAAATCAAAGGAGATTTTTTTTTCTTTTCAGAACATGGATCTGTTCAGTTCTGATTCTGGCTCCTTTGGAAGACTGTAGTATTGGTCTATTATTTTGGGGGGAGGGAGACTTCTTAGTGTTAAAAAGAGTCACAACAAAGCTAAAGAGCAGGTTTCAACATTTATATGGGGCAGGCAATTTCTGAGCTGCAGGAAGCCCTTCTGAAAATATGTGGCTGAAATTTAGTTTAAATGGCCAAATTTGGATATTGCTTAACAAGTCCTAAAAATAGACTGAACATTTAATTTGGGGCCCACAATTGATGGAGGTGGGGGTACTTTGTCATTCAGAGTCTTTCTTTTCGTATTTCTACCCTTAAAAATAGACAACAAAAATTTGGGCCTACATCTTGTATGAAGTTACTAGATTTCTCGAAGATGTTGGCACTGAATTGCTCCAGATCTCAAACATTGCCAGATTTCTAGATCTCAAACATTGCCATTCCTGATTTGTATAAAATATTGTAATTGTAGATAGGAGAAATAACATTTATGTAACTAGATCAGCATGACTTTAGTAGTGTTGCCCTTTTCATCATTCCATTTGTGATATTTTTGCCATTGGAAGCAGTTTGGGGGGAGGGAGGCATTTGTTAAATGAACATTCCTAATTTTTACCAATTTCTCAGTTGGGTAAGGTTTGCTGGACAGGCCTCTTGAATTATTTTGTGGAAAAGTTCACTAAATCTGTTATTCTTCCTCATCAAACTCCAGCAGTCAGTCCTACTGTGATTTACAATGGACATAATTAGGATACCATTTTATCCTAAAATAAGAAAGTTAAGCTTTTGTTTAAAAAAAAAAAAGATTTGAACTGTACAATATCAATTTCTATAAACTTCGTCATATTTCAGCCCCTCAGTTCTCAAGATTGCCTGCAAAATTTATCCCATTTTGCTAAACAAAACTGAACTGTATAAGTATTTATATTTTTTACATGCTAGGTTGTAGAAGAACAAACACCTTGATGCACTCTTACTCCAGAGCTGATTGAGACTTTTCAAAAGCCCCAGGCAGCTTTGTTATTTTTCATTCAGAAGATAGATATGCCTACTTTAATAAACCATCTACCTTTTTAAAAAACAACAACAACTAATTTCTAGGTGTCCTGAAGGAGAGGTGATTGTGGAACACTGCAATGCTACAACAGACACGATATGCGGACTACCACATGCAGGTTAATATCATAACTTCAAATGATCATAGACCAAACTGTCGTAAGTCGAGGACTACCTGTATTTTTATTTAATGATAGTTTAGCATTGAACTATAACTCAAACAATGGGGAAGCTGCAGAAACCAGCTTCAAGTGATTTTGTTTTGCAGTTGTCCATGCTGAAGGAGGGGCAGTTCACACAGGACAGGAAAAATGTGAGGTCCTCAACTAACCGGTGTGCAGTCCTAGCCCTAACCATTGCAGCCTGGACAGATGTCATTAAACGGAAGGGTCAATGTTTCACTGAAGGACTTCTTTACTAATGAAAATTCCAGCCCCAATTAGGGTCATAACCCAAACACTACCTGTAGTCTGTTTTGAAAAAAATACCAGGCTGAGAGGCTTCTTAATCTGGTACATGAAAAGAGTTATAACTAGAATATTTTTCTTTCCCAGAATTAGTACATTAGTACTGTTTTGCCTGTTTGGAGTAAGGAAACTGATTTCTTTTTGGAGTTAAACTCCAATCAGCCTTAATATGATCAACAGCAAAAGATTATGGGAATTGAAGTCAAATCATTTGGAGGACAACAAATTACCTCCTGAATGGATGTGGGCATGTGTATGGAGAGGCATGCATTCTCTTCCTTTGCCTTGAAACAAAAATCCTGGGAGAAGTGACAGAGACTGTAGCTTGTGTCTTTGCCAGTTCCCTGCACTCCAGAAATGAAAGCCATTTTTATTATCGGAGAATAATTTATTAGTTTCTCTAAAGCACTGGCTAATTTTGTTCCCTAAAGCAGTTGCCTGGATTTGCTCATTATGTTAAATTACAATTTGCCAAATTATGTTTCACTGAATAAACAAGAATGTATTGGGTGCATGCAACGTGCTTAGCCATAAACAGTCTTCAAAATGTAATGGCAGGGTTCATACAGGTGTACCATGAACTGTAAATCTAACCTCCATTTTTGGCATGTTGTAAATGCATATGCAGAAGAGTCTCATTATCTAAATTTGTTGAAATACTTCCTGTTCTGTCTTTTAGGAGCTTCAGGTTCCTCATTTACATGGCTTTACATCTTTATTGGTATTGGTACTGGTATTTCAGTTGTGGTGCTCTTGGTTTGGATCTTATATACTGGTATATGGAGAAAATGCAAGCCTGTAATGGGATCTCCACCTATATGGAGAAAATGCAAGCCTGTAATGAAGAAAGGTAATTTCCTGATGATTCGCTAAATATGAAGTAACTTGCTATCTAATATTAAATGAACCAAAGTACAGAAAAGTTGGGGGACCCAAAGCAGGAAACAGTGTGTGCTAATTTGTGAGTTGGATTTGCATGTTATGTTTAGCTGTAGATTGCTTAACTAAGGTTGGTTGAATAAGTATCAATTGGATGGATGTTCAGATTGCACTAAAATATAAATCATAGCATGTAAGACATAATAAGTGGATTCACACGACCTACTAAGCCAATTGGAAAAATGCTTAATTGTTTCAAAGCTTAATTACTAGGATAAATATATTAACATGAAGTAAACCTTCCTTTTAAAGTATCCTCACCCATGGGACAAAGCTCGCTTATTTCCTCTTACCCATTAGCCTACTTTGTGCCAACCCATGGTCTGTTGCGTAAGGTTGCAATCTTGTCCAAAGTTTCTGCAGAATGCAGGATCAGAAATTTCAAAGGAAGAAGTACAATAATGAATAGCTACCTATACATTTAAATAGAAGACCGGTGTTATTAACAAAACTGCTGTAATAAAAGGAATCTTCAGGTTATCAAGTCAGCTTTAAATAAGTGATCCCTTATTTAGCCATGGAATCTTGCAATTTTTCCCTGTACAAAGATCTGATACAGATATTGCTTACTGATGATAATTGGTACCAGGAATTCCATCGCTAAGCGACACAGACATAAGACACAACATCATGGGCGCACTCCAACTTATGAGAGTAGTCTTAGTGACCTTTATTAGGTGAATCCCATCAGGCTGCAGTATTCAATAGTCATGTGATCACCATTAGTGACATCCTGCCAGTTTCCCCAATGACTTTGTAAAAACTGGCCATGAAGGTCACAAATGGTAATCACATAATTGGAGGAATGCTGTGACATCTACAACTATGAGGACCGGTCATACATTCTCCTTGTTCAGTACCATTGTAACCAAATAGCTCCTGAACGACTGAATGTTAAGTGAGAACTACCTGTATACTAATGTATATATTTTTTTTCTATAGCCTCCCTAGAAAAAGAAAAATCCACAGACCATTTGGTAAGCAATCCTGTACTTAATTTTTTTAAGGGAATATAACTAGTGTTCTTAGTTTGTTTCTGTCCAGTCAAAATGATGAGGAGTTCACAAGAAGCAACATAGCCAGTTTTCTTCTCAGTTTTTAGTTTTGTAAAACTGGTAAGTCTGAATAGTTACTGAGAAGTCATCAAGAAATTTATTTTCATTTATAACAATCCATGCCAATTAATGATGTACTTGAGAAAAACAGCCTTGTTTTTCATCTTCACTGCAAGCTGCAACTTCAACAAATGTGCTTCTAACACCACATGGACCTCTAGCTTTCTTTGTGCCACACCAGTGTTTTCTCCTTTCAAACTAATTTTTAATGCCACATGGAGATAACCAGAACATTAGCAATCGAATGCTGCTGCTGTCACAACACCAATTCTACAGTCACTACATGGGCTAACCAATTAGATTCCAAGCCCAAAACAAAGTGCTGGGTTGCCATTGATAAAATCCTATGTGGCTTAGCTCCATACTGTATTATCTTAGGATCCATCTGCTCCAAGTGAAATCTGCCTTGCCTGTGCATTTGCGCAGGAAGCAGTTGCTTAGGACCCCTCCACTGCAAAGAGTAAAGATTGAAGGATACGTAGGCCAGCGTTCTCTGTGGCTGTCCCTCTCTTTTGGAACATCATAACCCAGGGAAGCACTCATGCTTTCCTCACTGATTTTCTGCAGTCATCAAAATGGCCCTGTTTTTAGCAGGTCTGTGGTGATTCTTAGATGTTCGGTTGATGTTCAGGTTAGAGCAACTGTCTTATTTTTACTCTAATTGCATTGTTTAATTATTAATTAATCAAGCCTATATGGCTGTTCCATCTCATAAAATGCGACTCTGGGTGGGATGCAACAATCCGATAAAACAATAGTTACCTAAAACCATTAAAACGATTATTAAAAAAAAAAATTAAAAACAGAACTGAATAAGAAAAGAAAAATACAGGTAGTCCTTGAGTTATGAATGTAATGGAGCCTGTCCATTCCATTCGTAACTCAAAAAATCATGGGAGTGAACAAGATCACTCCCTGCTTTCGCCCATGCATTCGCTAATTGAATGGATGGGTGAATGCACGGTTTGTTAAGTGCACATGAGGTATCTCAGGGTGGGGAAGGCCATGGAGGGCCTAGTGGTGGAGCAGACCCCCAAGGCCTCCCTGACCCACTAAGATCATGCTTCCCCCTCCCTTCCTGCTGTGCTGGCAAAAATCCTCTCTGCCGTGGTTTCTTTCCGTTTGAGGGAGAGGAGAGTTGGCTTAATGATTTTCGCGCTGACAATGGAAGCTCCTGGGTGCTGTAATATCGTGCGAGTTGAAAAGAGATCATGGCCCCCGGAAGTTTCCATTCTGGTGAGGGAAGTTTTTGCTTCGTTTGCTTGCCTATGGGGCAAAGCGTGGAATCGGAGTTGGCCGGGCACAGGAACCAATGCCGTCCATGGCCCGGGTGCGCTGCTCGCTCACATGTGCTGGCCTTAGTTTAAGGGTAGGAATGAAGCTTTCAACTGAGCAGGGAGCCATTGCGGGGCGAGTCTCCTTGCACCTGTGTCCAAGCTGCTGGTGGCAGCAGTGGTGGCCACCTGAGCAGCCACGATCTCCCCTCCCTAGCCAGACACTCAGCACGCCCAACCTACTCCTTGCCTGACTGGCCGATTGCTCAAATCCTGACCACTCTTCTTGTTGTCTTCTTAACTCAAGCAGCAACAGAGGCTTGAGTTTCTCCACTTTGTCTGAAAGAAACTGGAGGCGCAGAGCAGGATTGCTCAAGAAGACGCGGGTACACTGCTCGCTCGCATGTACCAGCCTTGTTGAGAGCAATCCTGTTCTGCACCTCCGCTTTCTTCCACTCGGAGTGGAGAAACCCAAGCCACTGCCGCTGAAACACTTTATCCGAACGGAGACCTGACAGATGGGAAGCTCCGTGTGACTGCCAATTGGATGCTTCAGAAACAGAGGAATGCTCCATTTCTGAAGCGCCTCATTGGCAGTCACAGGGAGCTTCCCATCTCTGTCAGGTCTCCGTTCGGATAAAAAGTGTTTCATCGCCTATGGGGCTTTCAAAACGCAGTGATTCTCTGCGTTTCCAAGTGTCCCTAGGTCTGTGGTGGCGAACCTATGGCACGCATGCCACAGGTGGCGTGCAGAGCCCTCTCTGTGGGCACGCGCGCCATCGCCCCAATCCTAGGTTTTCAGCTGGGTTTTATAAAACCTTTTTGCTTTAGCCCTCTGCCGCCATGTGCAAAAAAAAAAAAAAAAAGGTTCAATCAAGCAATCAATTGCAACTTCTCATGTGAAAAAAAAAGATCTCGCAAAGTTGGGATTGATTGATTGAACTTTTTAGTCCCACCCAGTCTGCCGTTACCACCGCAGCCACATGCAGCCAATGGGCCACGCCTACCCGGCACCCGACAATACATAAGTGGGTTTTGGGTTGCAGCTTGGGCACTCGGTCTCTAAAAGGTTCGCCATCACTGCCCTAGGTGCTCAAACACCTTTTATCCGAACAGAGACGGGGAGCTTCTCTGTGATCAAATGCAACACTTGAAAACGCAGCGAATTGCTGCATTTCCAAGGGTCCCATAGACGCTCAAACACCTTTTATCCAAACGGAGACCTTGAGGAGACGGGGATCTCTGTCTGTGAGCAAATGGGGTGGTTGAAAACGCAGCGAATGCAGCAGTATCTTTATTTTGCAGATACCTGGTAACGAGAATGTAAACTCTACAACTGAAGCTCCTGCTGCTTCTGAGGACAGACTGTCTGAAGCTGCTGAGAGAGAGAATTTGGAGATGGGCAATAGAGAACAAGACTCTGTCCTTCCAGATCGGCCATCTGTTTCATCATTACGTGAGGTTGCTTGTTCGAATGGGCAGTCCAGTGGAAGAAATGATGTGGGTATTTTTCAGTAGAAAATTGCTAGATAATTAATAATTGCTACTGCTCTGTAAGTTCTTCTGTAGCAGAACAGTTTGAAATAGTATGTGTTCATTTACAGTGCGACCTTTTATGAATATATTTAGGCCTGTGTGAGGCAACTCTGCTCTGTTTTGTGAAAACATTGTGTGCCACAGAAACAACTTTGAGTTCTCCTCAAAGTGGTTTGTACTGCTTCATGGTCTCTTCTGACAGATGGCCCGAAGAAGCTTCTCTGTATAAGCAGCACATGTGGATAAGCCTCTTTTGGCTACTGAAAGTGCTGGATGAAGCTTTGGAAATGAGGCAAAATAGCAGTGTTACTTCTAATTTTAGTAGCCAGCAGAGAAGTGTGGCTTTTTAAAGCAGATTAAAAATGATGGTTCACACAGATATTCACTGAAGGAAAGCAACCCCTTGAAGTTTTGTACAGCCATAAAAACATTCAAGACAGGTAACTTGCAATGTTTCTCAACCTTGACAATTTTAAGGCATGTGGACTTCAACTCCCAGAATTCCACAGCCAGCAATGCTGGCTGTGGAATTCTGGGAGTTGAAGTCCACATGCCTTAAAATTGTCAAGGTTGAGAAACACTGGGTTAGAGAAAGATCATTATAACCTAACAGGTAGAATTTCATCTAAAAATAACAGATGAAACTTGCAGTACTTTGAAATAGCAGCAGAGGGCGCAATACAGTAATGTATAATCAAAGGACCTGCTTAAATAACAGGGTTCTAACAATAGATGTTGAAGGATTTAGATGCTTTTGTCTTCCAAAGCCATTTGCCACACTAGGAATTTGCTGTGTTTCCATGGCTGGAGATAACTGGATACAGGCAGACATTAAGCAGTAAAAACGCTATTTTTTTTTTATCTGTTATGCTGATTGCTATACTGACTGGATTTCACAAAGGAAATCCAAACCCATGTGCCAGTATCATAACTAAGATCAGTTTTGACAGGTCCTGAGCAATTTTATGGGAAGAAATATTTCCTGAGGCATTCTGGCCTCAAAATGGCCACCAAATGTTTTGCCTCTAGCAATCCTCAAAGTCCATTTCCATGTTTGTCTTTAGGAGAACTGTGATATTAGTAACAACATTTGCATTCTTCATACTTTGGACCTGTAATTTTTCCCCTTCCTTGCCGCTCTGTGCTTTTAACCCAAGCCTTTGCCTCCACAATTGTGCTTGGCCATTGTTATTCTATGTAGTCAAAATGAAAATGGATTTAGAGATGTCATAAGAAACATGGTTTTGAGATTCATAGTTAGAATGTAAAAAAACACTTCTGACCTTGATACCCACCTCTTTATTATCTGCTTTTTTGTCATCCTATCCCTTAAAGTGAACTTTATAAAGTAACTGCAGCCTTTAAAGATTAAAAAAAAAACCCCTCCCAAATATGATTTCATTGAGGACAGGAAAGTTTTGTGGAGTTATTCTTATTGTGCATCCAAGTGTTTGTAGCAAATATTGGTATATTCCTTTTAGAATCAAAGTATCAAAACAGCTTAAAGTGGAAAAACATATGGCTCTGCCCAAAAATTCCTGGTAGAATGTTCTTTTATAGTTATTATTTTAAAACTACCGTATTCTTTTCTGTTGCATTGCCCTGGCCCTAGCATCTTCTGCAGTTTCCATTAAGGACTCCTTCAGAATTCTCCAGCAGAATGCTAATTAATTTCACACCATCTTTTATTTCACAAGGAAAAAATACCAACATTTTAGATGAACATTCTTGCTTCACACTCTTTCCCTCCATGGTTATCTGGAAAGATGCATTTATTTTCATGACATGGGATTTGCATACTATTTTGGATTAGCTTCAGAAAGAAACATATTGCACAAACTTTGTTACTGGGTTCCAGGGAGATAATCATCATTAAAATTTCTATTAAGCAAAGAGGGTGAAGAGCCTTCTTAAAAGTTAGCAGGTTTATCTGTAGTAGTTTCCCACTTACAGATCTGGTCAACAAATAACACTAAACTATAATGTGGTTTTCATACAGGCTTTTACGGCCAGTGTCAATGTAGTGGCGATGAGCTTCCAGGCTAACAGGCGGCATATCAATATCCTGACATTTTGCCAGCAACCGTGTCTGGCATTTTCAGAGGCAAAGTAATCTGCTGTGAAGTGTACTTCTTGTCAGGTCACAGGCAGCTGAGCAGGAACTGAATGAGCTCACTTTACGTCTGAAGATGCCAGTCACGGTTGCTGGCAAAATTTCGGGATATCAGATAATTAGACCACAGCCTATTAGTCTGGAAGGTCATCACTATGATGTGATTTGTTTGCTTTCGACTTAGCATGTGATACATGATTTGTACTTTTTCCTCTTTTTTTAAATGGGGTATAATTTTTGTCAAAAAACAGATTGGAATCATCTTATGTTGAATCATATTCTTTGTGAGAGGTTTAAGTAGAATCAGAAACAGAAAGGTTGCTTAAAATTTGTCAAGTGCACTTTGGAATCCATTGAATAAATTTCACTATGTTACTCTGACTATCTGTTTAATCTATTAAAAAAAAACAATTTGCTGTGTTGAGTCAAATTGTATGCTTTTTAAAAATACTTTGCATTATAACAGAGAAGTAGATAATCCTTTGTAAAAACTTTTTCAGGTACGGAGACCTAACAAACCTGCAGTAAGGATTAAAAGTTCTCCCATGAAAAGTGAGTAGTTCAAATAATTGTTTTATAGGTTATCATCCAATAAATCATATCGAACATTTGTAACCCAAGTGCAAAAAAAATGTTAACAATTCATATTTAAATTACATTTTCAATTGCTGATAAATTAATCACCTAAATTAAATAAATAGCAAAAGAAAGAGGCCTCTTGAGCAAGTATGTAAGTGATGCATTCATTGGACTTCATGTTAAGAGTGACGTAATGATTCTCTTTCTGAGTGCAAAGGGATACTTAAATGTCTCTGTCTTGAAATATTCTTGAAGTACCGTATATACTCGAGTATAAGCCGAGTTTTTCAGCCCATTTTTTGAGCTGAAAAATGCCCCCCTCGGCTTATACTCGAGTCAATATTTTTCCCCAGTTCTTTATNAAAAAAAAAAAAAAGGAAAAAAGTGATAAAATACAGGTAGTCCTCGACTTACAACAGTTCGCTTAGTGACTATTCAAAGTTACAATGGCACTGAAAAAAGTGCCCCCCAAGCCACAGCCGAGCAAGACACCTGCCTGCCCATCCGGCGGCGCTCTTCCTCCTGTCTGAGGTTTTCATTGTTGTGAGCATTTCTGTTGAGGCTTGGCAGCGGGTGTGTGTGTGTGTGTGGTTTTTATTCCCCCCCGCCTGCTGGGTGGTTGCAGCAGGTTTTGGTCACTTCCCATGACCCTGGGACACTGTGACCGTCATAAATATGAATCAGTTGTCAAGCATCTGAATGTAAATCACAAGACCCTGGAGAGGCTGCAACATTCCAGCTGATTGGTGCGTCTTCAGGGCTCAGCAGAAGCACCAGGATCAGTGCCGAGCTCCAGCTGGAGCCTGGTGCTGATCCTGGCGCTTCCGCTGAGCCCTGACAGCCCTGCAGCTCCAGCCCTCTCTCGCTCAGGCTTATGCGGTGCTGCCACCAGTTCAGCTCATTCCCCTCCCCCGCTACCACTTTTCTAGGATGGTCACGTACCACCTGCCAGGTGCCAGTGTACCACACGTGGTACCCGTACCACTGGTTGAAAAGCCTTGATATAGATGTATAGATGCACACCTGTGACAGGTAAAAACATGCTTTTTTTGAAAAACAGCGCCATCTGTTGGATGTAAAAGCAACACGCGCTAGCATTGTGAAATTAAACATATTACAAACGTGCGCTTTCTCTTTTCTTTCTTTTCCATTTAACCAGACTGAGCCACAGCAACGCGTGGCCGGGTACAGCTAGTATAAAATAAGAATCTCATGCACTAACTTTGTGCACAGAAGAGAAGCATGATAGTGGAACTGAAATGCCTTATAATTGGTGTAGCAGATTGTATGCCCCTGCCAATTTGGTGAGAAGGGAGTGGTTGGAATGAGATGTATGTCTGCTTTGAGACACTGTCGGAGGTACTGAGCGTTTAACACAGTAACATCCCAGAAATCCAGTGGGATAGCTTTCTAAATAAACAATTTCATCATCATAGAGTTGAAGTGATAGAACTTTCAGAAATAACTAATGAAATAGCTTATGGATGTAAAATTCATTGGCATGGTTTTCTCCTCAACAATGCTAAAATGTATTTTGAAGTCCCCCCTGAAATATTTGAAAACTAGACCTGAACTAGAAACAGTCTTTTCTTTTTACATTTGTATGTAGTTTCCAAAGTACCTGAATTGGATTTTTTCATAGCTGTTTACAAAATGAGAATTGTTTAATTTGCCAGTTCTTGTTTAAATAACAGTGAAGCTTGCTGCATATTTTTAATCTGGCAAACTAGTTTCAGTATTTGGTAATTTCAAAGAAAGCTGACAGTAGGATTATTTCTTTATTCAAGGTAGCCTTATATACTTGATTTGGCTTTTTTAAAGAGCTACTAAGTTTTTTGGGACATAAGGGGAAGCTTGGAATTATAAGGAGTTATAGATTAAAAAATTACTACTGTAGACAGAATTTTGTTTTGGTTTTAATTCAAGATACATGAACCAACTAAAGTATAGGTACTCCTCAACTTACAACAGTTCATTTAGTGACTGTTCGAAGTTATAACAGCACTGAAAAAAGTGACTTCTGACTGTTTTTCCAGCTTATGACTCTTGTAGCATCTCCATGGTCACGTGATCAAAATTCAGGTGCTTGGCAACTGACTCATATTTATGACCACTGCAGTGTGCTGGGGTTATGTGATCACATTTGTGACCTTCTGACAAGCAAAATCAATGGGGTAGCCAGATTAACTTAACAACCATGTTATTAACTTAACAACTGAAGTGATTCACTTAACTGTGGAAAGAAAGGTCGTAAAATGAGGCAAAACTCAACAGATATCTCACATAGCTACAGAAATGTTTGGCTGTATTGTGGTCGTAAGTCGAGGACTACCTGTAGATGGAATTACATCATATTTTTCTTTCTTGCTTTTTATGAGTTTAATATCACCAAGCTAATAATAATATTTTTGGCCATTTCTTGTTTAAGAATATATGTTTTTTAAAAGAATACTAGAATTTTTTAAATCATTTTTGAGATTATTAGTTTGATATTATCATTTAAATCGATTTAAAATTCTCTGATTATTTTAATTACCTTTTTCAAAACAAATCTGCTAATTAAGAGAGGTGATAAACCACTTCAGCTTTATATCTGATAATTCTTTTCCTTGAACCAATTATTGTATTTTTCTCTCTTCTTTGATGCATTTAGGAATCAATTAGATGGTTAGAAGATGAAAAGGCGCTCCTGGAAATGACAGAAGAAGTAGACTATGATGTAGATTCATATGCTACACAACTTGAAGCAATTCTAGAACAAAAAATTTACATTTTGACAGAACTTCGAGGTAGAAGCTTTTATTATTTTGGAATGCTTTTTCTATATATGAGAATAGTACTAGTTTTACAGATACCTTGTTTTGGAATATAGATAGTAATTGTAAATCATTAAATGACTCTCCCCTTTCTTCCTCAGCACAATAAAAAATAGGAAAATCTTACTAGGATCAATAAATCCATAAACACACATGTAAATGAAATTCTAGATGGTACACACAAGATTTTTCAGTTGAAATCATATTACCGTATATACTCGAGTATAAGCCGAGTTTTTCAGCCCATTTTTTGAGCTGAAAAATGCCCCCCTCGGCTTATACTCGAGTCAATATTTTTCCCCAGTTCTTTATAGACTTACAATATCCGAGCACCGTTTAAAGGGACGCCGAAGGCAGACGGTGCCCAACTGCGCGCCTTTCCCCCTTGGCGGGGTGGTCTTTTGCAAAGTCTTTTGCTGGGATATTGTAAGTCCACAGCAGCGCGGGCGGCAGCAGCAGCGGCGCCGTCTCCAGCTCCGAATCCCAGGCTGGAGTCAAGCCCTTTTAAAAAATGCCGGCTCGGGAGCAAAAGCAAAAGGGCGGGGGAGTGGGGCTTCGTTCACGCGCGGATCCCCTACGCTCGTATTTATTTACCGTGTTATGACCCGGCTGGCGGCGGCGGCAGCAGAAACAGCAGCCTCCTTCCTCGGTTAGCTCCGATTCCCTCCCCCC